TCTCTTCTTTCATATTCTGAAGAGGTTATTATTGCGAATTAATATTTTAGTCTTGTGACGCGTAATTTATTGAATGTCCCATGAGGTCTACTCTCCTTTCATCGTCCGTTCTTTTTAAAATAGCACGCACTAGTATAAGATTACATTCAAAAAAAGGTTCATCTTGATATAATGGCATAATACTATTGAAACTTGGTCTTATTTATTTAAACTTTAATGTACACAGAAACAAGTAATGGTACATAAGGCGGACATTAATGCAATATGGCATTCTCTCCCAGTCAACCTTAGGGTTAAATTGAAAATCAGCGAAAAAAATAGGCATGTGTAATTATAAGAAACAAATAACATAAATAGACTTTAATAAATATAGATAGGTGCAAAAAATATTTAAAATGTACACTACAATATAAATACAACATAAATATATAGGTATATATATGCATGCTCATATATATATATATATATACTAAATAAATAAATTCTATAATAATACATATATAATAATAATAGACCTAGACTCAGCGTTGTAGTGACTTTAAAAAGAAATCGTGAACATCGCGTTTGAAAGTGATCTTATTTGGAGCCTTTTTTATGTTAAGCGGTAGTGCGTTCCATAACTTAATTACACTAACTGTGAAATAGTTAGAAATGAAGGATGTTCGGTGGGACGGAATCTCAAGAAGCAGATTTTCAGCAGAACGGAGATTACGGCTGTGAGAACTGCCCAGAACCTGGAAGAAAGACTTTAGGTATTCAGGAGCACAAGGATCACTCAGAATAGAGAAAAGCATGCAGAGAGATCTAAGAGATCTTCTCTCACGGATAGGAACCCATTTTAGCTGATCGCAAAAAGAAGAAATGTGGTCGTATTTACGAAGACCGAAGATAAAACGGATACAGTTATTGAGCATTCGATCCAATTTGTTCAGAAGGTCTTGGGATAGGTCAGAGTAACAAACATCAGCATAATCGATAACAGGAAGCACAAGGGACCGGACCAGTAACTCTTTTGTATTCGGAGGCAGAAAGTTTTTAAATCTATAGAGGGATCGCAGCGTAGCAGTAACTCTCTTACCAACCTGCGCAACCTGATGGTTCCAGCTGAGGCTACCATCCAGGTATAGGCCCAAATTCTTTACGTAAGGAGACAACGGTATGACAACTTTATTGTATATTATTGGTTCGAGGTGATTAATATTCAAACGGTTTAAATAAGAGGAACTACCCAACACAATGGCCTGACACTTACCAGCATTAACGGTGACCCCATACTTCTTAGACCACTCTTTTATGGTGAGCAAGTTGGCATTAAGATGCTGAATACAGATCCGCAAGTCAGCAGCACAAGCCTGAGCATACAGTTGCAAGTCATCGGCATACAGATGATAAGAGCACGTGAGACGACTAGTGATAGAATTTATGAATAAAGAAAACAACAGAGGAGATAGTATACCGCCTTGCGGTACACCAGCCGTCAGCCCGCACCAGTCACAGTGTTCCTGACCAATGCGAACCGCCTGCTGGCGACCACGAAGATAAGCCGAAAACCACTCCCGAGACGACAACGAGAATCCAGACTGAGTTAATATAGCTAGGAGGACATCGTGGTCGACCGTATTGAAAGCGTTGGAGAAGTCGATTAAAACCAACACAGTTAACCTCGAGTCCCCCATACCATACCTCGCATCCTCAGTGACTTTCAGCAAGGCGGTAGAAGTGCTAGTGCTATGGCCGGGCCGAAAACCAGATTGGAAAGAAGACAGTAGTTTGTGTTTTGAGATGTAGGAAGAGATTTGCTTATGAACAACTGCTTCGAGGATCTTTGATTGGTAAGGGAGAATCGAAATGGGTCTGAAATCTTTGACCAGATAGGGGTTAGGGATTTTAGGAAGTGGAATAATAAGGGCTTTTTGCCAGATTGAGGGGAATACACCGTAAAATAATGAAAAGTTAATTATGTGAGTGAAAATAGGGAGGAAGTGGTCGGTAATTAAGGAAATCATGGTACGGCCCACCCCGTCACAGCCCACCGCCCCGGACTTGACCGATGCAAAAACTCGTCGAATCTCGAGTTCAGTCACAGGACTAAATGAGAAAGTATCAGGGAGTGACATAGGCTTGGAAGTTATTTCAGAAATGGTTTGGAGTTTAACAGCATCAGCCAAACCAGACGATGTAGCAAAATGAAGGTTAAGACTATTAAGTGAAAGGTTCGGAGGCAAAACACTGGATGACGTCTTACAAACACCCAAAGTTTTCAAGAACTTCCATACATCAGCCTGTGAAGAATTTTGAACATTATCAAAAATGTATCGGCGTTTGGCAGCTCTCACCATCTGATTACACCGATTTCTCGCTATCCTGTACAATCCCCAGTTCTCCTCGCAACGATCCCTCTTATACCTGCAGAAAGCCCTATTTCGACGCCTCATGGCCATTCGGACCCTCTGAGTGATCCAAGGAGCCGGTGGACGCCTGACACGGACTGCCCTCAAAGGCGCATGTGAATCTAAAAGTTCAAGGACATACTTGTTCAAGTTTTTCACTTTGTCATCAATGGAAGTCGATTGATACACGTCGGTCCAGTCAATGGATTGAGCATCACTGTTAAGTTTGACCTTGTCTACCCTCGCAAAGTTCCGAATATATACGAATGCGGGTCGCCACTTAGGAGGCTTGATTTTATACGATAAGTAGATCAAATCGTGCCTTGACAAACCAGGAGCCGCGACCTGTCCGTGATTAACGACAAGATCTAGGGAAGACACGAGCATGAGGTAGAGCCAAGAATCATCGGATCCAACATTACAATGGGTCGGATTTAGTGGGAGAAGTGAAGTCTTGTATAAGTACTTTATTTATAATAAATCATTTACATTTAACAGACTTAAAAAAATTAATATTAACTATTCTAAATGAAAATATATACAACTTAAAATATAAATAACTATGTATTAAAATATATACACCTTAAAAAAATAATAATAAAAATGCTTTCATAAGGCATAAAAAAATGTTTCCTCATCGCTATCGAGAGGTAGGGTGCCCAAAAGACTGGCTTATATTATTATTCCTAGGAAAATTAGGAATGAGTAAATATTGGTATTTGACTGCCTCGTTGACCGAGTGGTTGCGAGGGCCACTGCCGGGCAAGGGGTCTCGGGTTCGATTCCCGGGTCGGGCAGAGTAATACTGGGATTTAAAAAAAAACTCAGTAGTAGCACGGTGTCTGGAATTGTGCGCGGTATATGGCAATAGGCTCCCCCCTATTACATGGGACTCATAACATAAATAGTGAAAAGTGGGTCATAACTTGTACAGTGGCATTAACTGCCATAATGTGCACCTCTGTTATGTTAAATATTGGTAAGTTATATTCTTGTATAGTATTTCAAAATATTGTATAGTATTTGTGTTCAAAAATAACTTGCATTGAATTCTCCCCATTTCATAACAATTAGGAGAAAACGAAATCTAGATGCACAAACTAGTATGAATTACTTCGTAAACAAATCAGCGCCATTCAGAATTCTAGAGGGTCTGGCTAGATAATCTTTCAGAATAATATCCTGATATAGGAACTGACAGTAACGGAAATAATAGTGTATGACAGTGAAATATTGAGGCTTACCCGGGGATTCGTAAGTCATATGGGTACCCGAATTATTCGACCTCAGAGAAGCGTCTACTAACGGAGGTTTCGTATTTTTCTTAGTAAACGATCGCTATGTTATATTATTTGAGCACTGAATTTTAATATTAATATATTATATACATGGACTATCATGTCCATCTGTACGTGTCACTTGTTTTTAACTAGAAATTAAAGTTCTTTCTTTCTATGTTTCCGATCTCAATACAAGATTTAAGATGAACTGGAGATTTAAGACGTCCTGTTACGTTTAAGACTTATTGAGTTACACAGAGTGTTTGTTTAAATTGAAAGTTACAATTACACACTTTTTACCTAGTTTATGGACAATGTACAATGAAATTTGGCGTGTTGCCCTAGTGAAGGGTTGTATCGAAGGGCTGGGTCAGAGATTTGGGCCGAAAACCAACAAGTTGAGCTAGATGTGAAGACCAAGATTATATCAACATATTTAATTGCGTCTAATTGTTGTTTATTTTAAGCCTAAATAAACGACATATAAAATGTTGCTGTTCGTTCTGGGTGAATTTTGGTCAATCGCCTGTCGCCGTGTGAACTCTTAACCTTAGAGCGAAATGTTAAATTAGTTTTTTCTTTTATTTTAAGGTTGTTGTTTTCTAACCATTTTATCATTAAACTGTCAAACACCAAGCGGTCACCGGTGACCGCAACCTATTGTTCTTTAATTGTGTCTATTAATACGGTACTCGACGAGTTAATTATATTTTTTTTTGGTTCGTATGTGTCTCTGTTATCATAAAAGATAATGTAATGGTATTGGTAGTCATTAGCATTAGCAAATAGCGTTATGGGATGGGAAACACTTTTGGTAAGGTCATTAATGTACAGAATAAAAAATACTTAGTGGTCCCGTAGTAGTACCCTGTGGTACGCCAAATTTAACAGTGCCCTCTTCTGATTTATTATGTGCATATAACCTTTTGGTTACTTTTTTTTCCTTTTAGCTCTGATTTCTCTAAATTGCTTTTAAATACGATTAAATGAATTTTGAGATAGTACATCGAATTCCAAACAAATTAATTAATTGATCCCACATTTATTGGTTCAGACACAGAAATTTTGGAAATATTTTTTTTATTTTTAAATTCTGGTGATAAGTGAGAGTTCCGAATATCCAACCTGCTTTTTGAATGCGCCATCATTTTTGTAGAGCTCTCCTTACCCCAATGACGACGCAATTACAGTTTTCTAAATAAGTACATTTTGTTATGTATATGATATATATATGTGAGGTGTATGCTCTCTTCCTTAATAGTAAAATTATTAAAAATAGATAGGATCTTGTGAATGCATTTATTTAAAAGATTTTTTTATGTTACAAGCATCAGATGGTGGTTTTTTCAGTGCTGGGATCAGAGGACTCGGTGCTGGGATCAGAGGACTCGGTACTGGGGCCGTTGTCGATGGTGGTTTTGTCAGTGCTGGGATCAGAGGAGTCGGTACTGGGGCCGTTGTCGATGGTGGTTTTGTCAGTGCTGGGATCAGAGGAGTCGGTACTGGGGCCGTTATCGATGGTGGTATTGTCAGTGCTGGGATCAGAGGAGTCGGTACTGTTGTCGTTGTCGATGGTGGTGGTGTCGCTGCTATTGGTGTTGGAGTCGGAGGGGTTGGTGGAGTTAGTGTCGGTGGTGTTAGCGTTGAAGTCGGTACCGTTGTCATCTGGCATCTCACTGGGTGGTGTTTCGGTACTCATATCAGGTCCATCAATGTAGTTATCATAAGAGCCATGGAAGTCAGGAGCTTTTGCTCGGACTGAGAATATACAAGTGGAAACACATTCGTATTCGTCTTTGAACATGTTTATATTAGGAAGACACCCTCGCCACATGCCCACTTCGCACCTCGATCCTGGTTTCCAGTAGTACATGACGGGTGTAGGTGGTTTACCACAGTCATCCCATTTGAAGTTGGCGAAGCATTGTTCAGGTGGTACTACAAGTAAAGAAACTTGGTGAACGGGTAAGAAAGTGAAGATTGATTTAATACGGAGGCAGCAATCATTTAGCTCCTTTTAAATATTATAAATTTAAATCTCTGTACTGAATCATTTTTCATTTTCTTATTACCCACTGACTGATAATTGTTAATACTAAGAATATGAATAACTATAGTTGCAGTCAGACAACCTATAATTTTAATACAAATTAAATGAACATCAGCATAAAAAGATATATTACTGAACGACTCTTTCCTCAAAAGACTACTAATCCCCTACAACAGTTGGGACATAGGTCAATGAAAATTGAGCTTGTCTATCGCTCGGTAGCTGGTAGTCCATATGATGGAGTATGTTTTGGGATAAACCCCAGTATAGAAAGAATAAATGAAGAATGAAATCTTACCTGTGTTGACGAGACCGATATAGTAAAAGACCAGAGATATAAATACTACGTCTGTAGCCATGACAGACCAGCACAAAAATGAGAAGATTAAAAATCCCATTACTTTTATCGACTGTTAATTGTTTCTCGCGCGAATGGACGTTAATGTGAATTAATGTGTTATGTAATTTCCTTAGAAAGTAAATTTAACAAGTTTTTCATTGCATTTGTTGCTTAGCTTCGGTTGATGTATTTAATGTCGTCTTTAATCGCTAAAAAACGAGACATTTACTGCCTCGTGTTTTATACATTTTGACAATAAAACAGTTTCATAGCTGCACACGTGTTTTATAATAATTATTAATTATATATTACTGTTACATAAGTCTTACTAGGTTTATAACAAACTTAAATAAAATTAAGAAGGATCTCAGTTTGATCTGTACTGACTGCACAGTTGGTGCGGTGGCTGGGCACCCGGCTGCTGTGCAACGTGTCGCGGGTTCGATTCCCGCACGGGACAACACTTTGTGTGATCCACAAATTGTTGTTTCGGGTCTGGGTGTCATTGTGTATGTGAACTTGTATGTTTGTAAACGCACCCACGACACAGGAGAAAATCCTAGTGTTTGGCAACGTTTTTTAAAAGAATTAAAAGAAAGAATAAAAGATCTGTGTGTACCTTGGTGATGTTTTCTCCATATTCTGCCCTCACTTGGTATGCAAATATTCATTTGTAGTACCTTCTAAGGTATTCTATTGAAATGTAGTCCATAATATTTCTTGTACTGTTGAGTACAAGTGGTTCAAAATGGAAAAAAAAACAATAGAATAATAGTTGTGTCGAACGTATAAAGCAACACCTATAATGATGTCAGTTCTGTTAATGCCATAGTGTAAAATATTCTGTTTTATAAGCTTAAATGTGTGGTCCCATTGCACGCTGTCTTTTACGCTGTCTCCTATAAAATCAAAAATATATGTTCTCACAAGCTACTGACGTGCGATTTCACCCGATCTGCTCGGTTCCTATTGATCAGAAGTATTTCTTGTCGGGTGGCATGTGCGATGCGAATAGTACTTACAAAACGTTTAGTGTTTCATGTGCGTATATCCACGAATATTTTTTTAAATTATAAAAATATTACGTCTTTGTAATGCTTTTTAATGTTATCTACATATGTTTATACAAATAAATATATCTTTATCTTTATCTTTATCTTTTATCTTTATTTTTTCTTTTTTACTTTATAGTTACATCGAAAGTACTTGTTAAGGCAAGTTATAGATGTTCCGGTGTATAAGATATAACATAATCCTATCCTACTAATATTATAAATGCGAAAGTTTGTGAGGATGTATATATATGAGAGTGTGTGTGTGTGTGTTTGTTGCTCTTTCACGTCAAAAAGGCTGTAGGGATCGAGATGATCTTTGAAACTGGGGTAGGTTATGCTCTGGAATAGCACATAGGCAACTTTTTATCTAACGAGAAGGCGGGCGGAGCTGCTGGCAAACGCTAGTAAGATGAAAGATTTGATCAACAGAAAAAACCACAAATGCGATCAAAATAACTTTGTTTGTACCACCTAGTGCTTTATTGACTCTTTAAGTAGGTCATTGTAATTAGTGTACAGGGATAGACATAAACATGGCTAAAACTGCAGATGAAAGCTAGTCAGACGGATCACCTTTCCATCAGGTGATCCGTCTGATCGTTTACCGGCTTATGCCATAAAAAAAACTTCCCGCTCTCAATGCAACCTCACCCTTTCAAGTTAGTCTACATAAGTATTAAGTTGTCACAGCCGTCAGTTTAGGTAAGACAAGCATATTGCATGTACGGTGTTTATTAAAAAATGTATATTTTTACGCCTTACGTTCAGTTTGAAACCATATTTTCACTAGATTCTAAAGAAAGAAAAAAAGAAAAATCAATAATAATTTTTTACGTCAAACAATAACTTCCGAAGAGTTTTCTGTTTCTTCAGGTCTTTTAACAGACATTGGAAATATGGCCCCAAGTATATATAATGATAGTAATGTCTTTCAGGCCACTAAAATTATTGTTCAGTAACAAATTTTCTTTGGCAGTCCACAGAAAAAAAATACTAGGCACTACTATTTTTTCGAATCTATCGAAACAAAATTAAAGTAGTTTTGTATAAAAACGTGAACCAACACGTTCCTGTAAAAGCGTAGCATTGTTTTTCACTAAACCGATTTGCTCTCGGATCATGTGAACAGAATTTTACTCGAGCCAAAAGTATTGTTTTGAAAGATTTTTTTTCAGTCTATTACAGTACAACCCTTAATTATCGAAAAGTGTATATGAAAGACACCCCTTTCTTGATAGGGGAAAACCATCCAATAATGTTTCCTGCCTTGGGTGAGGTGATAAAGAAGGACTGAAATCAGGACTCCAGTTCTTTTAGCCGGAGTCCCGGCAACCCCTTAGTTAAGCCTTCCGCGGCTCCGTATCGGACATAAGCCCATCTTTAGTGGTCTGATGGCTCTTTAAAGCGCGCGCGGAACGCGACAATCCGTAATAAAATAACAAACAATTCTGTACATCTATAGTAAACATTCATTTTTGCATGTGTAGGTACACATGTTTTGGCAAATAAAACGATCTTTATCTTTATCTTTATCCGTAAGCACGGGCTCTGCAACACCCCGCGTTTGACTGGTAGGGAATGTCATTCGGCATTAAGTCTGCTTCTGTATGATTTTACATAAACTACTTTAAATGAATAAAATCGCGATAGTTTGCAAAATAACTGGTATTTCGGCTGATGATGGTGAGAATCTTTTTACCAGTATCTAACGATGACTATAATTATGATGAACTTAAGCTAAATTTTTAAATTACAATTTAGTTGTAATAGAATGATCTAGCTTCTACACATCACCCTTATCCAATCGATAAACGCAACAACAGAATAATAACTTGACGCCAAATCTTTAACATGCCTTCATAGACCTATGTAGGTATACACACGCAGTAGCTATGTCTATGACGGCCTAAACTAAAAACGCAATACAGACATTTTACATAGAAAAAGTACGTTGCGCGTTGATGAGCTACCACAAGAGAACATAGTGTGTATACGTAGAGATGAAACAATATGGCGTACTGAGTGACGTCACAAACAAGTGCTTGAGCTAATGAGAGGTAAGCTGACAAAGCTATGTGACACAAAACTCTGCAACTGTTTACAAATGAGTCGCTTGTCTAGAATACTAGAATGTTTTAAGATTTAACTATGGTACTGAGTTTGTTTACATCGTAGCGTACCTTTTATTTTCGATAATTTGTTTGTTTGCTTGTTTTTTTGTTTGAACGCACTTATCTACGAAACTATGGGTTCGATTTTAATAATTCTTTTTGTATTGTATAGTCCATTTATCGAGAAAGGATGTTGGCTATAAAACATTACGCTACGATCAATAGGAGCCGAGCAGAGCGGCTGTAACCACGGGAGAATATCTAGGTAAACCATATACTTACGTACACATGTTTATGTAATGACTTATTTTCAAATTGTATCCATTTTTCTATCGTTCATACAATTATTATAAACAAATAGTGTCTGCCAGTAGTTGCACCCGCGATTCCATAAAATAAAAGTAGCCTGTGTGTTATTTCAAACCATAGTATAACCCTGTTCTATTCCCATTCCTTCAGCAATTTTGAAGTGAATAAATAACAAACATACACAACACAACAAAATCTTTCACGTTCATAATATAGGTTTTTTTTTAAACGTTGCCCCATACTAGGATTTACTCGTGTGTCGTGGGTGCGTTTACAAACATACAAGTTCACATACACAATGACACCCAGACCCGGAACAACAATCTGTGGATCACACAAAGAGTTGTTCCGTGCGGGAATCGAACCCGCGACACGTTGCGCGGCAGCCAGTTGCCCAGCCACCGCGCCAACCGTGCAGTCAGTAAGACGATTAATTGTGGGAATGTATATATATATGTTATTGTTTTACGAAAAATCCACTATATGTATAGCACAAAGTTAGAGTATGAAATAACATGTAGGGTACACAGCACAATAATGCAAAGGCAAAGCTGTTGGCTGTTGGGTGCTTACTTGAAACCAATCTCAATGTTAATGCAATTTTAATCAAATAAAATATTAATAATTATTTAATGTCAAAACTATACAACCCTATCGTAGCTGTTAAAATAGCATTCGGAGTACGGAGTATAAAGCCAAACTCAATACCATTTAGTTCATTAAATATCCACGGTATATGGATGCAATGGGCGATAGTGTTGAGGTAAGTGTACGAAATTTCACAATACTAATGTAGAATGATCGAAATTGGATTCAAGAGTAAGCCCCCTGACCCGGAGGCTCAAGATTTGTAGCACGGCCATCCATTAATTCAATAAAGCAATCTCAAAAACAAAGACAAAAGTCTACATTTAAGCACTCAATATCGACAATAACACACCAATTTCACTAGTTTTCAGTACTTTGCCAAGTTTGAAATGTACAAAAAGTGTAATTTGCGACCTGCCA